GAAAACTTGTAAATTGTTAAACCCACAACGAGAGGGTGAGTGCTGCGCGATTAGCTCCCCCTTCTGATTCTCTACGCCGTATCTTTAATTTATTATTTCCCAGAGAGAGCTTTTAGCATTTGCGCGTAAATATAAAATATATAAAAAAACTTAGAAAAGCTCTGTTCGTGGGCTGCACCACTGATATGCAGAGAGAGCTGTTAGTATTCATCCATATAAAAGAGAGCTTATACTCTATGCGCGTACATATAAGAGCTATAATATGTTTTTAAGCTTTTCGAAAGAATACGGTTTTTGATGATGAACGCCGTCTTATACGTGTACAATACTTTTTAAAGCTTTCATATTATTTTTCCACAACAATTTCCACTAAAACGGCCTCATGCTTAATAAATCTGTTGAGTATAATTGTTACAAGGCCACAAATAAGAAGATACTATTTTGAACCTTTCTATAGATTTTATTGTCTGCGGTGCTTTTGAAAGCTTCCCATATATTTTACCGTTTCGTCTGTATTCTCGACCTTCCAAACACTAACGTGTGTATTCTTGACTTCATCCCTACTTAGTTGCACTCATATGCATATTTGATTATGTATTCCAGGCGAATGATAACATCTGTCATCCCAGTGATGGAGACACTCACGACCAAAACGTAGCCTGCAGTAGAAGCTTTCTAATGATTTGTATAGATTTAATATGAACATGTATTCTATAATAAAGCTCTGGCGGTCGTAGTCGGTGCAAAATCTACAGAAAGCTTAAAAACTTATTCTGTCGCGCATTCACACAGAAAGTCTAGCGACGCCGAGCGAAGCAAGGCCGTATTCTATTCAAAAGATTAATTGTAGAATTCGTATTTATTTGAATATTTTGCTATTTTGTTTGCAGCAGCGTCATGAAGCTGAAAAAATAAATAGAAAATTCTAAATCAATAAATAACTGCTTTGTTTTCAGCTTATGAAAAAGCTTGCTGTATGAACACTTTCATATAGCTACGGCTATGGAACGAACGGCTTCGCTCGGCTAGGCCCCGCTTTCTGTGTGAACGTACCCTTATGCGTGTGTCTATGTCAAAGTTGGCCACTTCATAGGCACGCGTGCCAAAGCTTTTAAAAGCTCTCTGTAAAATTTATATACGACAGGCACAAAATGAAAGCTCTTGCTGGCCAACCCTGGTCTATCTCAATGACGACCTATGCTCTATTTCATACTATGCTTCATATATTCATAGTATTAGTATATATTCATAGTACTATGCGCATACGCATAATCGAAATAGGTAAAAAAGCTCTGATAGCCTCTTAGTTTCGGTCGTCTCTACTTTATACCTACCGTGACGATCAGAAAGAGATTTTATGATCTGCATAAAGTCTATAGAAAGCTTTAAAAAGCTTATCCTGTTGGATGTTTTTTGGTCGTATAGATTCGTACAGGAAAAAATCTCTTCCTGCTCTATAACAACGATGGACGGAGAGAGCTTTTCGACTTTACTAATCCATACGAAATTGCGCATTATCCAAATAACTTTTTGCGACTCTTGCCATATAGAAACTTCCATCGTATATAAGCTAAAATTCCAAAAGCAAACATTCCTCATCGCCACTTTCACCCTTGCCCCTGGGGGCACAATAGACCTACTGGTCGCAGTGCCATACCCAACCAACTATCTATCCATCTTCACCCTTGCCCGACANTACTGGTCGCAGTGCCATACCCAACCAACTATCTATCTATCTATCTTCACCCTTGCCCGACCTTAGTTCCGTGTGAAAATAAAATCATACCCAAATGCATTTATGCCATGTACATATAAATTTCGCCAATCTCACCACGCAATCACATAAATATCAAAATCACAAATGCAATTGGCCCACTTTCACTCGCACCACCAACTTAGATACGCTTCGGGACGCTCTTTTGGGCTAATTGAAATTTCCCTAATGTGCGCGCTGTGGTCACAGCAAATGGCCTAAACAAAAAATATGCACGTAACATACATGGGTACGTACATACATACATACATTCATACGTGGGTACTATATAGCCACAGAAAACGCATTAGCAAATATGAGGGAATAAATTTCAAAATGCACATAGCAATTTTTTATTTTTATGTTGTTGTTATTGTTATTGTTACTGCTATTACAATTGCGATTGCGTTAAAATATTGCTATTCACATTCTTTTTTTTTTGGTGCTTTTATTTGGTGTAGCAATGCAATTTGTTGTTGCCGAGGAGCATACATACGTTTTTCAATTTCCCGCCACGCGCAACAATTTCGTTTATTTACAACCTCAACAAATCGTTAGCGCCTGCGCGAAAAAGCTGCAACCACAACAACAACAGCAACAAAAATGTGTGCGGCACCAACGCAATTTATGAGTTGCCAAGCGAACGCATACGCATTAAAGCGAAGCAAAGCGGTTCAGAGTACCTAGTAGATACTACCTACTAACGTAAGGCATAGATGATGGTGGCAGTGTGTTCGCCAAGGCATTAGGTGCACAGTTTTGTAGGCCGCAAGTGCGCACGATATATGCATCGCATATCATTGCCTACCCCAAGGCGCTGAAGCTGTTTGTTGTGCTGCGCCGTTGCCAGCCGCCTGCCCGATTGTGACCAGGTATTGTGGTGAGTTTTAATTTGGCCGAATGCGTTGCGCATGCGCACATAAAAGTCAACGCAGCTGACGGGGGTATGGGTGTGTGAAAGAGGGGAGCATAGCAAATGTGCAAGTCGAGCGCAAGTAAGCAGTACAAGCGAAAATTTTTTGGCGTAGTGCGAGAAATGATACTTGTGCAGAAAATGTCCAAAAGCGATTTTCTTTTACATAAGAAAATGCACGGCAACAGCCAGCATTGTTCTTGTAATGCCTTAACTGCTATTGTAGTTTTATCTGCAGTTTGCAGTTTTATTATGCAGTTTGTTTTCTATATATATTTTTTTTTTGCGCTCCACCAATAAACAGAACAAGTTAAACGCCAGTGCTTGCAAACGCATTCAACTTTGCAAGTTCTCGCCATTCTTGCTACAAATTGTTGCATATTTTACAATTGTACGATTGTGCGCATGCGCGGCATCGCTGTTAACGCCTTCGCCACACGGCCCTAGCGGCTGCGGGCGGCAACAAATTTTCCAAACCCACTGTATGGTGCACGAGCCGCACTATAACTGTCCACAAGTTGTTGGTGCTCGATGCGGCATTTCGGATTTTTTTTGTTTTGTGGTTTCTACTTTTAGAAAAGTGCTTGTAGATATGTACATTCATAATTCTTGCCATTCTCATTCGCATATCATAAAATATCATCGAATATTTTACAAGCCACAGCCACACTCCTTAGTTTTCACCAAGCTTTGTAAAATAAGAGCAAAAATTATAAATTTTGTGAGGAAAGAAACGTGTTGAAGCCTGCAGAAATGTACGAACACATTCTGTGTGTTGCCGCCAAGGTGGGCTAACAACAATAAAGTCTTTCTTGTACAAGTGGTACAAACATACATACATAAATGCACTGATACATACAGACGTATATAGTGTGGTCCTGTTGTGGGTGAGGCCTATCGTGAAAGCACTTCAGTTTATTCTACGCACTTTTGGTCCAGAGACAACTACAATGTTGAGTTTCTCTATGCACTCAAAACCCAATCTGGATTTGGTTTTATTTGGGAGAAATGAGTTCGAGTGGTGATTGAATGTCACTTGTATTTTCCCAGCGGGCTGACCTCTGTACACCGCCGACTTATGACATTGCTTCAGAGGTTCGTTGATGCTGGTCAGTTCTTCTGACTTCAGCAGCATTGTCCAGAAAATGCATCAGACTAGACCGAGCTTCCTTTGCATTGTCGCGCCTAAACGACTAAGTACCTAGTATGCACCTTCTTATCGTTGAAACACAATGGCAGCGAACGGCGAATTTTTAGCTGCGAATGTTCGCTGTAGAAATTAAAACACACTGACGTATATGATAACACGCACAACCAAAGACACACCACGAAGTTCGCCCGATAGTCGTTCGCGACGATAGACTTACTTCCATTGTCATCGCTGCCGGCAGCGGCAAAATACGATTCATTGTAGGCATATGCTAAATATTCTCAGGTTTTTGAATCGAAATTGAAAAATACTATATTAGTTTTTGTTAAAAATTAATAATCTTGTTGTTTGTAAAAGTTTTAATTGTACCTATTCATAAGCAGCTGATTTCATTGTTGTCGTAGTTGTGTTTAACTGAGCGAAATTTTTGGGCGAAAGTTGCCGACGTCGGCGCTCTACTGAAAATTCGCCGTTCGCCGGTACTGTTTTTTAACGGTTAGTTTTCTATGTTCTTTTCTTCATTGTATTTATAAGAGATTGAAGAGCGATGATGGCGGGACGGAGACGGTGAGCAGCTCTGGCTAGTGTCGGTGCCGGAGACTCTCATAGGTGACTGCAGCTGGTGTCGGTATTGGAAAGCCGGTGGATGCATCGTGAGAGCCGGTAGCTGTAGTCAGCGGTGAGAGTATCGGTGAGAGCCAATAGATGAGCTTATGGATCGACTTGTGGCTCTAGATAACTCTAGGAGTGTCAGTGAGATGAACTTTTGAGTCGTTAGGTGTCTGCAGACAACGGTAAGAGTACTGGTGTGGGCAGAGACCATCCCCAGCGCTCTTCACGTTAAAAGGGTATGCTATGCAGTTAAGGAGGGTGTGTTTTTCCGGTGACATGCAATAATGTCATTGGAATTAATGTCATTTGACATAAAGGCACTTTTGTAGGGCGTACTAATAGCCACAAAGTCTAATATGGGTCTTTGGCCAGCTCCTCATACGAGATTTTATGCAGAGTATTACAGGAGAATTTTTGAAATAAATGTCAATTGTTAAGTATTTGATAAAAATCTATATCGCAGAATAGTTTTCGCAAATTACATACTTTTAAGATATTTGTTTTTTTTTTTTGTTTGTTTTCAACCTCATTACATTTAATCTAATAAATCCTTTTTTTTCATTAACTTTCAGGTGGTCCTCTCGGCCTGTTCTTCATATTTCCAGAGCCTTTTTCTGGACCACCCCGAAAAACATCCAATTGTGATATTGAAAGACGTCCGCTTAGCCGAACTGAAAACATTAGTCGAATTCATGTACAAAGGCGAAGTTAACGTGCAATATTGTCAGTTGTCGGCTTTGCTCAAAACGGCCGAGTCGTTAAAAGTAAGTTTGCATATTCATGAAAATGCACGTAATTAGAGTTCGAGCATCAAATATCTGAGGATTAGTCAACTACGTAAATTTGTTACCTACCATTTTATTATTTACATATTTGACATCCTTCACCAACTTTAACTTTAATATATTTTTTCGCCTATACTTAGGTTAAGGGCTTAGCAGAGATGACCAATCAGAACACAACACTCAGAGAGCCAGAACGTGAACCGGATCGCTTGAGACCGCACTCGCAGCCTAGCAAGAGCACCTGTGACAGCCCCGTCGATACTGCGTTAGCGGGCGGGTCCACCACATCGATAGCCACCTCAGCCGCAAACTTAGCCACATCAGCAGCCTCCGCCGCCGGCGCTTCATCATCTGCCTCAGCCTCTATTACCGCCACTTCAGCCTCGACGACATCAGCAGCAGCAGNGAGCCAGAACGTGAACCGGATCGCTTGAGACCGCACTCGCAGCCTAGCAAAAGCACCTGTGACAGCCCCGTCGATACTGCGTTAACGGGCGGGTCCACCACATCGATAGCCACCTCAGCCGCAAACTTAGCCACATCAACAGCCTCCGCCGCCGGCGCTTCATCATCTGCCTCAGCCTCTATTACCGCCACTTCAGCCTCGACGACATCAGCAGCAGCACCAGCTACAACGACGCCAGTCAGCACCGCAGCTGCAGTTGTCGCTGCTGCCGCAGCGGCCGTTGCAGCGGCAACTCAGCAACAACAGCAAGCTGCCACAGCGTCTGCCTCCTCAACAACGACGTCAACGTCAACAGCAGCCGGCGCGGCCGGTACCGCAACAACGGCATCCACAGCGCAAAAACGTGACGCTAGCGGTGAACGCGGCGGCGGTAGTCCGTCTGCGGCACCACCGTCTAAGCGTCAACAAATGTCTCCCGAACGCGACTCATCACCGCTGCCGCTTGATCTCTATCAGGGCCGAAGCGGCGAAACCAGTATTGTTGGTGTGGAAAGTGGCCCAACTGCTGTCACGAGCGATGAACGCGATGTGACGGCGCATGCCATAAGTAAAAATAACAACAGCAATAATAAGCATGCAGCGACCAGCAGCGGTGGTGTTAGCGGGAGCGGCAGCGCGCAGGCGTCGTCTCACCAAAATAACGGCAATGGCGAAGGCAAGTCCCGGCGACATGACGACTCGGATGATGAAGATGACGATGAGGGTGGCGGCGGCGGCGGCGGCAGCAGCATGAGAGCGCTTGATTCACCGCCCGTGCGACCCGCCTCCTGCAGCGTGCTAGACGTGAGCGGTAACATCGGACTCACGCTAGGCGTGGTGGAGAAGATCGAAGAACCCGATAGCTATGACGAGGAAATGGAACTGGATGAAGATATAGAAGACAATAGTTCGAACGACGCCATGGGCTTGAATATGAAAATCGGCGCAGCCATTAGCCATTCAGCGGCTTCGCTGGCGTTGCCCTCACCACTCGGTGGTGGCAGCGGCGGTGGTGGCGGTGATCCCGAGTCGGCACGTTCCACACCAGCCGCAGCAACAAGCTCGTCCTGCGGTGGACTTATACTCGCGTCGGATCTCACACACCAGCAGCAGCAACATCGTGCAACTTCGCGTAGTCCACGTGAGTGCGTGAGCGCGGCTGGTGAGCGACCTAGCAGTAGTGGCGTTTGCGGTATGCCGTCGACTTCGACGGGCGCTGGAATGAGTCCTAGCGCATCGGCAGCGGCGGCGGCAGCAGCAGCAGCAGCGGCGGCGGGCAGTGAACCGCTGGCGGGCACGTCTGGATTGGGACCGGTGCAGTCGGTGCCATTGGTGAGTTTTGACGGGTAGTGGGTGGCGAATATTATTATTTTATAATTTTATTTTATTTTCAATTTCAATATTTTACGCACAGTCGCTTAAGAAGGAGATCGATTGCAGCGAGGATGACAACAGCAACAGTCGGCATATGCATCAGCCGCGCTCGGCGTCGGCGGGCGGCGGTTTAGGCGGTGATTTGGATTATCGTCTCACCACACACGAATCGGTAAGTGCGCCAAACCCTTTACGGCTTGTCCTTTCTTATTCCATTCATGAAAAAAAAAAAAACAGATAAAAAAGTGTTTAGTTTTTCTTTTGTTGACGTTTTCACTCCTGTTCGATTTCGATTTTCAAACTCAAATGATACCGTTACATTACTTACTACTTAACTACTACTACATCAAAAAAAAAAAATACCACAAATATTATGCAATATAAGTATATTTAAATATATTTTTTGCTCTTCGTCGTGTTCTTTGTCTATGAATTTGTTTACCTGCTGCATATGTATCTACGTTAAAACATCACGTTTTTAACATTTTTTATGATCACTACTTCGGTTCATATCTGTTTTTTTTTTGCCTATTACAAATTTTGATTTCAATGGCGATTTTTCGTTTAACATTTGCTGTCGCTGAAAAATAATTTCGACCCAAAATTTTAAAAGCGACCATGCTTAAAATGCAAACAATTTTTTAGTTACAACAAATAAAGCACATACAAACAAACATTTGATTTATAGCCTCCACCCAACCCATGTGAGAATTGCAGTCATAAATTTAATTGAAAACCAAACAAAAAACTGTATCCTAACAATATTATGTAGTCGCTTTAAGCGTACAAAAACAATTTGGAAATTTTCTGCTTAGAAATTGGATAATAAAAAAATTAGTGAACAGCTCACTACCGGAAAAGTTCCGAAAAAATAAATTAAATTGCCCGAAAACCGAAAATTTTGCGCGACATTTCCACGATTCAAATTTCCCTTTACATTTCCGCTAAATTTTACACCCCAACTAATTTTTGCTTCGCATATAAATTTTCAGTTGACATTTTATGCTTGCCAGTGTTGCATGTTTGCCATATCAAAAATTGCTAAATAAATAATACGAACATCAAAAAAGTAAATAAATAAATATACACCCGACGTTTGTGCACGCCTGCAGCGTAGCGTACTATTTTAGTTATTTCCCACTTGGCCGCCATTTATTTACCCCAACACACAAAAACGCACACACACACACAAGCGTGCGCAAACTTTCCCCGCTTTCCAACCTCGCCTAGCTCTTCTCGCTATTTCTGTCGCCGATTTTTCATTTTATTTTTATTTATTAAGTTTTGTGCAATTTTTCGAATTTTCCTTTTTGTGTTAGTCCATACTGTTACTGATTGTGATTTTGATTTTCATTTTAATTTTGAATTTGATTTCATAAATGTCGCATGTTTCCGTGTGCTCAATTTTTTGACGCTTTCTATGTGAAAAGTGCAAACAAACTCATACTCGAACGCATACATTTCCACATAAATACTCGTATGAAATTGTCCTTGTTTTATTTGTATTGTTGTTGTTTTAGGAATTTTCATTTATCCTCATACTTTTCGCCTCTTTTTTGTAAATTTTATTAAATTATCCATTTCGACATACATATGCGAGTCATATTGACTTAGTTCCACACCCTTTACCTTTACATCCTCCCCTCCTTTTAACTACCACATATGTATGTATGCACATTGGGGTGGGTGTCCGATTGAATTTTTTTGGGGTTTTTGTTGGACCAATAGAAAATTATTAATGTAAAAGTGTTTAAATAAAGAATTTTGTATCATCTACTCTTTGAAGTCTGCTGAGGAGATACAGAGTTTGCCAATTGAAAATTAATTGATTTTCAAGGAAATTGATTTTCTACGTAAACAAATTATTTTTCCCCATAAGAAATATGTACATGGGAAACAGCATTTTAGACTACCCTGATGCACATACATACACACTTACATATCGTTAGTTTCCTGCCCTCCATTTCATTAACTTTTTTTCCTGCCGAATTTTTTTTTTTGGTTTGTCCGCTATTTGAAATTCTACTAAAATTTATATTAGTTTTGCATGCAAACTATTGAAAAATCAACGCAAAGGCGAAAATTCTGCGAAAAAGTTAAACCATAAAAATTAAAAAATTGTATGTAATAATAATAATTGGAAATCTAAAAACATAAATATTTATATACTAATGATATGAAATTTTTAACTATTTCTTTATCTATAATATGTATTTTAGAGCAAAGTTCAAAGCGCTAAGGTATTTTTTTATATGTACATATACTGTATATTGTACTAGCATATTTTTAAGCAGGTATTATGATTTAAAATGTTCTCTAATTTATATAAATATAGGCATATATGTATATTCAAATAACGCCATTTCTGTAAATTCAAGAGAAGCGAGTGCTGAGTGTAGTAAATTACTTTGGCAATTGAAACATAGATGTATTGTGCTTATCATAACTATACGACACTCACATATAGACCATGACTAATTATTTTATTATTTTTTAATTTGAATTATTTGTTTATAAAAATATAGTTTATTCTTTATCAAAAACCGAACAAATCCAAGTTTCAATCTTCGTGCAACATAAAAATCGGGGTTTTTAATAAGATTTCTTTGTAATATTTTGAGTATGCAGTTTAGAAGCCCATTCAATTTTAGTATAATAAAGTACAAGTCTGAAGTAGATGAGACTTGTTGTTGATTTTTGTCAATCTCATCTTCTCCATATAAAAAACTCACCGAATATACTTCGATAAACAAATAATTATAATTAAAGAATAATGAAAAAATGTGTCCAAGCTTATCAATATGTGAGTGTTGTAGAGTTATGATGAGCCCTATATATTAGAACGTACCAGTGTTGCCGCGAATCATTTTTAGTGGTAGCCAAATAACTTTAAAAAAAGGGTTAAAAAGGAGCTAAAAAAGTCGTGGTGGCTAAAATGGTAGCTAAAAATTTTTACTTAGATATATATATATAAGTATACACGCAAACATTTTCAATAAATAATGGTATAGAAAATCAATGAACTCTGGAAAAAAGCTAATATTTTATCCAACCAAAAACCTTTTTGTATATGTAAAAGGGAAATATACGACACCAGCTTGCTGGCTCCATCAAGTGATTGTACCATCAGGCTCGAATCATATAACTTACCAGCATGTTGGTACAATATTTATTTCTTTACAAATGAGGTCGAGGAAAGATCGAAATGATTAGAACCGAAATTTCATAATTTTTCTATCATTTTGTTAAACATTGTGTTTTTTTTTTTAATTCACAGCTGCAATATCGAGAACTAAACCTTCTACAAAACATAAATGAAAAAATGAAATAAAATTAAGTATATAGAACTTTTTCATGCCAAGTATAAATAAACTCTCCAAAGGGTTAAAAAAAAGGGCTAGGGGCAATTTTGAATTTATGTAGCCAAAAAAAGTATGTGGTAGCTAAATCTAGCCCCAAAGGACTAAAAGGGCAACATTGGAATGTACCATCTTACAAGCAATCAAAAAATTTCGTCGTTCTCCCCTGGGTTAAAAGTATTTTTACAATTGCCTTTTACATTTTTAAGGTGACACCTACATTCGGCAATAAACATTTTTGTTAGTATGTAACAAACGAGATAATTTTGAATGCTTAAACCCAAAATAGGCCTAAGAAGGCCCACTTGCCAATCCAACGGTTAAGAAAGTGTACTATCGTTTTCAGCACTTTAGCGCCTCGTCATAATCTTACCACGCACGTAGTTCATAGCGCCCACGGTTAGTGGTTTTATTAAACCACTCCTCGTCGGAGCATTCGTTCCCAAATAATATACCATTAGATATAACTTCAATATATATCGAGCCCTAACCGCCAAAAATTATTTTTAAATATCTTAAAAGTTATTAAAAAACTATAGCCAATGAAAATAAACCAATAAATACAATAAATATCTTCCACGGACATAACTTCCACCGAAAACATGACCAATGTTCCGAAATCCAAGACGATCTATATGGGATTATCTTCACTAGAAAAAATAATGGACGGATATAAGATTTTGGTTACACATGCGATGAATTTCAATTGTTTTACATTAATACAGCCAGTTTTTGAATATTTTTGAAGCTATTGGTTATAACCGGTGAGTGGAACTTTTATGACTTACATATCAGGTTCTTCTGGTGCTGTATTGTTAGGATATGCTAAATGAATTGTCGGTTTTCTAGCTACAATGCTGCATTGGGAAAACGTTTTCCGATTAACGCGAATTTCTTACGTTTTATTTCGCTTTTAACTCACGGCATTCCAAATTCTGGAAATCTCAAAATCAGTATAAACTGTTAAATAAATCCATGCGAAATTTTAATATAATGCGAATTCTGTCACAATCCTTCAAAATATGCAGTAAATATGCAGTATACATATGTATGTAGCTAAAATCATATAAATGAACTAAATTAAAACATTTTCATCGTTGAACTGAAACCGTAATTGGTTTTTGTTCTTAAATAGTAATTACTAGCGCTCCCAACTAATTATTGTGGAAGTGAAGTCATGACATAACTTCCATGAGATTTTCGTAAAGTTTTATGGAAAGTTTGTCATGACATAACTCCCATGGAAATTATGTCTGAATTTTGTGGAAATTAAGATAACTTCCACGGTCCTATGGAAGTTAAGTCCGTGGAAGTTATGTCAGTTACCCTAAATACCCCCTTCAGTGGCACTGTTTGCTCCTTATAAACATAGCAAATAGTGAATATAAATATATCGTTCAGTCTACAGGAAATAAGAATGCTTCTTAAATTATTTATTTTATTAGTTTTTTACACGTAGAAGATTCTCAAACTGAATGCTAAAATTACTCGTTTTCTACACGGGTATAATTGCTACACATCTCCGTATTTTTTCTCCCTCGAGTAGCTAAGGTTAAGTTATGCTGAAATGACCATACCACCATACCTAGGCCCGAATTCTTATCTTAGTTGGTTAAATTTTCTTCATCTCTGCAGCTTCTGCAAAATTCGTTATGCTAGCTTATGCGAGTGGCATTGCAGTAGCAAGCGGCATGCCTAAACCCTTGCAGAACTACGAAAGTGGAGCACATCAGTCCCCTCCTTGCAAGTTCGTCGGACTTCTCGTTGACCTGTATGTTCGGGAGTCCCGACACTTATAACAAGTAACAAGCAA